GGCTGAATGTTCAGAGCTAGTACCCGGTTAGAGACTTGAGTAGTGCGGATCTGCACCTGCGGGTGATTTCTGATACTCAGAGCCGGCTGCGAGTTAGATACTTGAACAGTTCCCCCTTACTCCTTCGAGTGACATATCCTGATTGTACTCCTACGGGAAGTTTCCCCTGAATGCCAATGTGAAGTTTCATTACTTCGTGTAAACCTTGGTTTGTAATTCAGGTTGTGTGTGTGTTACTGGATCGTGTTTTCAGTAAGTTCTCAGTCGGGTCTGCACTCCCTGCGTTTTGTGTGATAGTCGAGGGTGACGTCCACGGCGTACGTAGAGGCTTCGTTCCGAAGTGAGAAGTCCAGTCCGGGTACCCCCGCTAGTTCCTGGCGGAAGGGCAGTAAAAGCCGGAGTGGGAGGCACTTCCTGCAGAACCTCTGAGTGAACTTGCGAGACACTTTCCTCCTGAAATCCGAAGCGGAGGTCCTGACCGACCTCCGAGTTGTGCTTTTTGCCAGTTTCAGGTGTGTGTGTGTGTGTTGAGTGACCAAGCTGTACCGTGCATCCTCCGAGCATCCTCCGAGTTGAGATCCTCCTCCGAGTCGAGCCTCCGAGTCGAGCACTGCAGTATTTCTGGGAGTGACAGTCGCCTAGAATTCAAACTCTACCAAAAGTCTGTTAAATGTGACACTTTTACTCTGTGTGTTGCCTCTGTCCCTGTGGGTTCGATCTTTTTACCACCATACTGCAGTATTAGCCTTTGGTGGGTTATTACAGGCTCACTGGATTCTATCGTAGATTTGTGAAAGGTTTTGCTCGACTAGCTCAGGCCTTGACTTCCATGTTAGGGAAAGGTCAAAAGTGGAGATGGGGAACAGCTCAAGAGTTAGCTTTTCAAGCATTGAAAGATGCTTTGTTACACGCACCTATTCTCAAGTGGTATGATCCTAACCGTTCTATCAAGTTGGCCACTGACGCATCAGGTACAACAGTAGGTGGCATACTTCAACAAGAATGGGAAGATGGATGGCATCCAGTTGCTTTCTATTCTCGAAAGTTGGTGGCGGCGGAACAAAATTATCACACGACAGAACGGGAGGAGTTAGCCATAGTATTGGCAACCAAACATTGGAAGCATTATTTGGGTGATAAGGAGTTTGTGGTGGAGACTGATCATAAACCCTTGGTTTATTTGGAAACTCAGAAGGATCTGTCCAAACGACAAATTTGATGGGCAGAGTGGCGTCAACGCTTCAACATGAAGATTGTGTACGTGGAGGGAAAGAAGCAACTTGCAGATGCTCTCACACGCATGCCTTGTTTGAATCATGTTGCAGAAGTGAAAATTCAGGCAGATTGGTGGAGCAAGATGTCACAAGCCACAAAGGAGGATGAAGAGATCACTCGGGCACTACAAACTGGAAAGGCAGAGAAATCTCGAGGTTTGGCGTTTTACAATCAGCGTATATGGATTCCACAAGATCACGATTTGCGCACAATGATTTTGGCAGAAAGTCATGATACAGCCATTGCAAGTCATGTGGGAGTGGAGAAAACCGTGGAGAGTATACAACGAGTGTACTATTGGCCCAAAATACGTGAGGATGTGGAGTCTTATGTTCGAAGTTGTGTTGCTTGTCAACAAAACAAGGCAAGTAATCAAAAACCAGCGGGTTTATTACAGCCTCTTCCTATTCCCGAACAGCGGAGATCATGTTTGGTTATCTACAACAAATTTGTCTCTTGTAGGAACACCAAAGTTAAACCCTAGGTTCATTGGTCCATTTTTGGTTTTGAAGCGTGTTGGTGAAGTGTCATACAAGTTGGAACTTCCGTCACATATGAAAATACATCCAGTATTTCATGTGTCACGATTGCGAAAACATGTACCACGACCAAAACAATTCACCAACCAACCAGCACCACCTCCTCTTCCAACCTTGATAGCAGATCATGAGGAGTTTGAGGTAGAAAAGATACTCAAGAAACGTATTCGAGGTCATAAATACCCCAAAGTAGAGTATTTGATTCAATGGAAAGGCTATCCATCGTATGAATCAACTTGGGAACCAGCTAAAAATTTAGAAAATGCACCTTTGATAGTTCAGGAGTTTGAATGTATGTGCAACGAGGACGTTGCATCTTAAAAGGAGGGAGGTTTGTAACCATCTTTAGTTAGTTAGAACTAAAGTAGAGGTTACTCTAAATATTGATGTAGATACTTTAGTGTGCACTAGTCATAGCTACCACGTCAGCGATCCGCGCACTTGGTAGATACAGAGTGGATATGTTAGTTGACAGTGCCACGTCAGCAATCTGTGTGCTCGTAGGTAAGGATTGAGTGTGTTAGTTGGGTGCGCCACGTCAGCGATCCGTGTGCTTGTTAGGGTTATCCGCCACGTCATCCATCCACTATGAGTGGGATGGATGGTGGGGATTAAATCTTATCACCTTGTACTTGTTGGTGAGAGCTATATAAGGGAGAGGAGAACCATTGTTGGTATCTCTCATCTTCAGAGTTTACGATCCTATCTTCGAGTGAACTTCTCTCTAAACCCTAGTGTTACACATAGTATCTTCAGTCATCTCATTACATATTTATTATATACTCTTCTGGTTACGTTTTAGTTCTAGTTAACTTTAGTTTAAAGAGTGGTCTTGAGTTAGGTTTCTTTTAAGAATTTCTTGCCAAGTAATTATGTAAGTTACAAGGTTTTTGTTCCCTCTATGCTAGGAGGTTTTAGTGACAACTCTATACTATTACTCTATCATGTTATGGCTACGGTTTAGTTCTGATTAATTTTTGTTTGAAGAAAAAATTTGTGTTAGGTTCATATCTAGAACTTCACGCAAAGTAAGAATATAGGTTTCAACAATTATTTAGATTCTTTAACACAAATCAAGGGTGAGATTGTTGAGTTTAATTCTGGTTAAGGAGTAATTTCATGTTTAGCAATTTATAGTTGAGATTGGTAAGTCGTGTTGGATATATATATATATACCCTGATATACCCCTTTTGCGCTGCTGACAGTGTTGTGTTTTCACCGGAGCAGTAATTTCTCTCGTGTGTATTCTATCGTGATCGTAGCTCTTGAAAGTAAACCACGTAATAAACAAGTATTGCTTGTGTTGTTGGCTTGGCTTGCATGAATCACTTAGTTTTTCACTTTTACGTTGACAATGAGAACACATGATTGACACAACATTATACATTAATCATTTAATTCATAAATTAATTAAATGAATTCTAAAATGAATTACACAATGTGTGATCATATAGCTATTATTGAACATGAAATTTGCACTTGTTGATAATATTTCAATCAAAATGCTACATCTGAAGTCATTTTAACTTAACATTTTGATGAAGTAAGTTTGTCCGTAGCTTATGCAATTCATTTCAAAATTGAAAAAATAATATTTTACAACTTATAATAATTGGTAATCAGTTGGGTTGTGGAAAATTTGGAATTTTGATTCCTTAAAATTGTTGTTTGTATTCTTTGAAATTCTTGCCTATATCAAATGTTGTCATTTTGAAACTTGTTCTTTGAATTCTAATTTGAGATGCTTATATATATATTCGTAGAATACGAGAAAATAATAAGATTGTAATTTAAAATTTGTATAAAATTGTATTATAAATATATAATACAATTGAAAGCTGTTTCATTTATTTGAAAAAGTAAATAAATAAAATTATCATTTAGATTTGAATATTAACATAGAAATTTGACAATAAGATGAAAATATCTTGATGATTTGTTGATGCTCAACAAGTAGACTCATGAACATTTGGGGTTTTAAAAAGTGAAACTGAAAAAAAATTCAAACAAAATCCAATTAAAGTATCTACATTCAACAATATTTATAATTGTGCCATTTTTTTTAATTATAAAACCAAGTTTCCAAAATAAAAATTCGAATATGAAAGAAACATTTTCAGCAGACTCTCCATTTAAACAAGTAAAAGATTTCAACTCAATAGTGAGACAGGGAAGCATAGCTGTACGATTAGTAAAAGCAATCGGTTTGATTCTTGCTTTCTCGTTGAACTTGTTCCCACGCGGTCTCCCTATTGAAACCAAAGCCCAACCGTATTCAGCATGGACCACATCTTAGGCTTATCAAGATCTCTTACCAGCGTGTGATGCTTTTCATGTCTATTGAAATTTATGTATATCCTCCTGGAGAAGCTTTACTTTCGCACTAATGGATGATCTCGGTGCTGAGCTCCGAATGGATCGTCTTCCAAACAAATCAGTGTTATATGTTTTATGAGAGCTATATGATTCGCCACGGCATGTACCACTCAAGTACTTCTCTGACTGCAATCTGTAGTCTGAATCCAAATGTAAAGCTGGCTATCAATTATCTTCAATAGCAAAAGTGCACAGTGAACGGAGGAAGCAAAAGCAGTTACGTTAAAGAAGGAACGTTAAAGAAAAGTGCATATGCTGAAGAAGTCTCAATCAATGACTCAAGGACCCATCACTAGTCTAAAGCCCACCATGAACCGATTGGAGACCGTGCCACTCACCATGAATAATTGCAGTTTGGAATATCCATGCTGTCACTTCCTCACACTATCGCCCGCAGTATGAATTTATAGGAACAGTTTGTAGAACTTGGTGAAAATGTGTTGTCGATGATTCTCACCGATTCCCAGAAAGACCATTCCGAAGCGTGGAAAATTAATCTTAGAAAGTTTGTCCACCCGCGAGCCGGAACTCTAGAGTTGCAGTTCCATACACAGAAGGCTGGTGACCAATCTTTGTTGTCGAGAGGAATGATCTTTGATGAATTTTCGTGTGCCAAACGGAGGGATTTTACGTGATGAAGGTAGTAGAGATGCCCTAGGACTGGTGGCAGACTGCAAGGATGGTGGAAGACTCAAGAATTTCGGTAGTCTGTTCTCCTTGCGCAATTTTGTAAAGATCGATGTTTGTTGGTGCTGCTAATCCTTTTGGATTTTAAAATATATTACATCAAAGAACCTCTTTGAGTATCAGATGAAACTCCGCATGTGTTCGACTTTGTTCTTCAAAAGCGCTACAGATTCAGATGCAATTACAAATTATTATGGTGTTTGCATTTCCAGTAGCAGTGCGATTTGTAGCAGGATCTACCAAGAATTTATCTGCAAGAGATACTGAGTACTTATTCGTATTTATGGCAGACAGTGGATTGGGAGATGAGACAATATCGACAAGAGATGTGATCCGTCATACCGGAAAATCTCTGTGACAATGATGCGCGATGGTCGCTTGCATCATGCACCTCTCTACAAACAACCACAAGTCCTGCACAAAATGTAGAACGACATCGTGTGTTGTCTTTCTCCCACGACTTCCCACAATGCTTTCGGTACTTCCTGGTCTTGAGAAATATAAAATTGGCAGATATCTCCTCCAAATTTTGGAAGTGAGAATACCAGGATCGCGGCGTTGAGGAAATGAGAGAAGAGTAATATGTCATTTCTCGCCAAGAGCTCTGTGGCTCTCTTCCGAAACCAGATGGGCTGAGAAATGTGCTCAGCAAACGACCTCTACGTTGCCAGTGGCAGACGATCTCTAACACGAAGGTCGACGGCGCTACCGAAATGTCAGATCCCAGAGGCTACTGCTTGAAGGACAAGTCGAAGGCAAATGACAGAAACTCCCGATCTGTAAGAAGATCAGACATGGCTTCGGGGACGAGTCTCACGAGGATCGTCGCCTCAGCGCCAGAGTCCGGAATCGGAGGGAGAATGACAGTATTGCCCAGAGACAACCAGTCGCAAAGCAAATTCGGGGCCACAAAGTATGGAGCACCGAATCCGAAGTCTATGTCGTAGGTGGGAAATCGGAACCACGAAGTGAAGGAGCAGAAGCGCAGAACGCTCCGTTGGTAATCATTCATGATCTGAGTCATGGACATGAGGACTGGCAGAATACTGTCATGATTCACTGCCCTCACCGTCCTGTGAACCTTTTGCGCTGCGAATGAGTGCGGTTTGCTCAGCAGCTCGTCCGGGGAGACTTCGGGATAAGGAGCGAGCATGATGACATTGCCGGAGTAATTTGGGGGAAGAGGTGGGTCCGAGAACTTGAGCCTGCCTTCGATTGCGCTCATGGCTCGAGTATGAGAGGTGCCGCCGTGCTTTGCAGGAAGCCTCGAAATGCAACGCCACAAGAGCGCCGAGATGCAATCGACAGTCGTCAGCTCTTCGTCTCCGGAGGAGAGCTCTGTTTTGGCTTGGGCCTTCAAATTATCGATGACATCTTTCTTGACATTGAACAGCTTCGTCATCACGGGCACCACTTCGTTGAGCATGAAGCCTACTCCGGGGTCCCGAGTCGCAGCTGCTGGCGAGTCGCCGTCAGCCGCCGCCGCCGGCGGCGCCTCCGAGTCCGCTGACATTGTTGGAGCCGAGTCTTCCGTCGTGTGAGTGCTGGCCAGCGCGTTCGTTACGCCCTCCACTGCCTCCTCCACGGCTTCTGCACTGGCACCATTTTCTTCCGGCGTTTCCACACCCTCAGCTATGGAGCTCTCACTCGGTTGCGGTTGCTGACTGATGGCGGCGTAGAGCTCGGAGAGCGAAAATGCAACTGAGCGATCGTGATCTGGGACGATCGTTGTACTACCCTCGCGCGCGATTTGCGACCAAGCCTGCAGAAAATCGTACGCCGCCTTCCCATCTGATGTCGTGTGATTGAAAGTTGTTCCCAGAACGACCGATCCACAAGCGAACCGAGTTACCTGCAAGCAGAAATAGAAAACTCCCAATTATGATACGGACACCAAATGCGTATATTCAATATTTCAAAGTCTCAGAACCTTCCGATTTCTGAAGATTGTAATCGTCCGTGATCGACAAGGATTGCTGTTATCAGCAACAGCCACAAGATCTGTCAGTAATTTTTGTTCCTAGTTTTCTCCTGCAGATCAACTATCTGCAGGAGATTGTTATGTGGATAAATGTCAGGTGTTGAAAGTCTAAGGAGCTTGAAACTCCCTGGATCAAGCTTTCATCGATAAGAACGGGTACTATCGGCAGTACACTAGGAATACATGGTTACTGACGAAGACTCTGAAGTTAGACACCTTTCCACCGATTGTGATTCTCAAAATTTACATGGAGCCTCCCTTACGTGGGGGGAAGTCGGAAGAGCTGAGAGGACCTTAACCTTAAGGCTCTCAATCGGTCGTGGCCTCTGACCCTTGGAACTTGCGAATGAGTGCATGACTTTCGAAGTCGGCGGAAGAGAAATCACGAATGTCTTGTCAGTGATTCTTGATATGTACAAACAGAATAAGCATACGAAGCTTCATAGGTGCTACACAATTCCACCGCCCATAGAAAGTACAGAGGTTTCCTCCTCTTATTCCCTGGTTGAGACAAGATTTGAACGCAACACGCTAGCCTTTCGTGTTACACAGACCTTCCAGCAAACTGTGCAGATAGAACGAACAATATTTGGATATAATTGAAACCACGGGACATCAGTCTAGAGATCGGAGGCAAATCCCAAACGTCCACCCTCGTCGATAAGATGTGAGTTCAGTACCATGTTGTCAATAATGTCATATGTCTTAAATACTCACTAATAGCTTGAGATAGGGTAGTATTTACCTGAACAATCAACGATGGCAGCTCAGGCTCAATACTCTGATGAATCTTCTGAGGATCAAATCCTAGAGCCTCGTAGCCTGAAAGCTGGAACAGCGGCTTGTATCCTTCCGTGTCGATCTTCACTACAGATTCCAAATCCTCGTCACAGAAAGCTTCAACAAACGGAACCCCTGCATCGTTGCAGTAAAGTGTGCGCACAATGGTGGGATCGGTGTTAACTCTCCATCGTCCTGCGATAGGATAGAAGGGGACCAGGACCTTGCTCAAGGAAGATTTGAGATCATCAATCAGTTTCCTGTAGGCTTCTTCCTCTGAATAATCAAGGTCGTACAGAAAGAGGATCGGTAAAAATGCATCAATGTTGAACAGGTCAAACAGAGATGCGTTCCAGCTCTCGGGATGCTTCTCGGCACCGTCTTCCACCTCCACCGGAGCAGGTGTCACGATGGTCTGCTCCACATTCCGAAGAACAACCTGCCGTGCAAATGCCCCTGAACCTGACATACTGACCACTGATCCAAGTTCAGGGAATATAGAGACTCGTAGATCAAAGTCAATCACTTCAGAAACATATTCAACTTCGAAGATTCTGATCGAATTCCTCTTCGACTCTAATGATCACAAATCCTGGAAACGCCTTGTCGCATAACACCTTGCGGTGAAATGATTTAAGCTTCCTGCTGAAGTCGTCTGTGGACTGAATGAACACGAAGATACATGCTTTAGATCTCTGCCCACGGTATCACAGTCTCTGGATACTGGTCCACCGCACAAAACTCCGCCAGTTCAGATCGTGCAGATTTGGTGCCCTTTCCTTGATGAAAAGAGCCTAATGAAACATGACGGACGGAAAATCCAGCATGAAGCACATCATCCAATACAACTATATGCAAATCACTGTTCCAGGACTCTGGCAAGGAGCAAGTGACGTATTTCACATAAGGCATCAGGTAACACGACGAGATGCACACATGACTCACAAACTGTTCCCTCCGGATATAGTTCAAAAACTCTGAGGTCTTTCTGAACAGAATGCTTGCATGGTTATGGTACCACGAACAGAACTACAGTGGGTTCCATGCCTATGCCAGTTTAAACCCAATTTGCATTTCATCCGAAGAGCTGTTAGCTCTCATGTCTCGGCGAGTCCACAACTTCTGTCACTGCATGAAGGAGATAACTAGAGATTCAGTGAGCTCCGCACTCAGGAAATCCGTGTGGATAATTTGGACCGATGTACAGCACGTAATCTTTCAGATTCCTCAAAGATGTGCTGAGAATTGTCAGGATTTCTTCTCAGCTCAGGATGAACGACACCTACAGCGCAGAGGCTACAACTGCTTTCCGTGTTCAAGGTAGTCGACGGCGTCATGTGGCAGACTGACTCACCATAGACTATCAACGCATTTTATGTTCAATCTGAATGCTGACAAATCGTTCCTTGGCGACAAAACCTGCAAATCAAATCCTTCTGGATTTGTACAGAGTACTCTGTTTTATCTCAAGCACTCTGTCCTTCCAGAAGTTTATGTCCTCCGGTTGAAAATACAACTCTCTGGTTTCCGACATGAATCAGAGATGGCAAAATCGGACGACATATTAGACATGTTGCGTATACATTGCAAGGCACATCAAATTATCATCACTACGTTGCAGATATCAGTCGCACAAGTTGGACTGTACCATCTTCCTGCAAATTTAGGCAGCAATGCGCAGTGTACATTGTTGTAGAAATTAATGCATGCAGTTACAGTTTGGCAAGTCATTTTAATTTTTGTTCGCAAACCACTCAGTTCAGAGCTGGGATCCAGTGGACTTGACGTGGTAGACTAATTGTCTCTATCAATCAATCAAACCTTATTCGATTAAAAGATTGTAGAAGATTGTAAGTTGGTCCAGACACTCTTTCTCCGATGATCTGAACTCGGAGATGTGCACTCGGTGACTTTTGATTGTGTGTCTTGACAATTTTTGTGCACGTAGTAACCTTAGAGATGATCCTTTGGGCTAATATGATAAAAATCTAATTTGTCACTTCATTTCGGAGAATTGACAACAGGAGCCACGTAGATAGAAGAAAGAACTGGAGGACCAATCAAGCCAATGAAGAAAAGTAAAAGAAGGGTAGCCCTGATAACATCGTGATCAAAAGGTGATCGTAATGATGGTGAATCTGATGGTAGAAAATGAAGACTAAGTTGTTTTGTTGTAAACCTAAGAAAAAATCAACTATTATTACTTAGTCTCTCTTGAAAAAACAAAACAATTGCTTAGGCAAATTGTATATGTCGGAGCTTAAGGTTCGAAACAGCACGGTTGATAACATATACAAATTGTATAGCACGGTATCTTGATTCCAATGATAGAGTGTTGGTTGTTCACTATTTCGAGTTACAAAATGGAGTATAATGGGAGAAGTTATTTTATCATTTGCATTCAATTTTCTCAAAAAAATTTGAGATACCTATAAGTGACTTGTTAGAAATAATTCTTAAAAATTATGATCGTAATATATAAACAAAAAAAATTGCATAGACTCCGATTGATGTACATAACTATAAAATTAAATTTCCTAAAAGAAAAATATCACAAATGAAGAAATGTGTTTATTACCTTTCTAAGGCCAATTTAGTATATATACGTTGTTTGAAACATATGTGTTTCAAACATATACTGTTAGTTGTTATTTGTCACTTGTTAATTCACTTGGACAGAATATGTGTATTAATACGACTTTAAATATTATTTACATCACGACGTTGAAAGTCAAGTCATGGCAACGCTATCATTAAAGCATACGTCCATATTTTTTCCAAGCTAGCACTTTTCTCCATGCATATTTACTACGATTCAAATTAATAGGAAACAAATATAAGCCATTCTATACTTCCGAAATTTTGTAATCCAGCCTAATTTTAAGCAATTATATCATCATCTCAGACCAAACAAATTACGGTCAATAGGGTAGCAACTCGCAGTTCCAACACCAAGGTACGTGGAATGTTGAGTTCAAACTTCCCAGTGGGAAGTTTGAACTTGTGTGGGAAGTTCCCACACAAGGGGAATCATATCCCCGTAGAGGGTCATTGATTCGAATATCTTTGAATCTCTCATTACCTGGCAAAGCTAAAGATGCCCTTGAACAACTGGAGAAGAATGTGAATATATAATAATATGACCTCTCTGGTAAATTCACTTCTATTCATCTCTGTAGTGTTAGTCCGGTTAACACACCTACCAGGTTACTACGGTAGGTTACCCCGTAACATTAGTTTCGGTGTGAACTGAGATAGGAATCACGATGCTTCGTCGGGTGGGAAGGGAAGCAGCGGGTTTGAAAATGGGCTCTGCTGCGCTCTCAGCAACTGCTTATGAACATCGCGATGCATGCGATGGACATGTTCATGCACTGGACAGAGTGACGGCGTTGATTTGATATATTTCTCTGGGAATGCTACGAGATAGTTTGACGGTCGTTTTCTCAACTGTTGGGATGTCGAGGCCAGGAAACGTGATTCTGCTCATGAATGAAGGTACAAACAACTGAGGTAGCATCCAGTTTCCAGGAAAGTCAAACATGGGCGACCAGCATGCCGGCCCGCAGTTGATCGAAATTGCTGCGGGCAAAGCGCTGCAATGGAACGTCGATTTCGATCGCGGTCTGCGATCGGTCAAACCAGGTTCGAACCTCTGCCCTCGTTATTTTTTCCTAGTGAGTATTCACTACTGCCCTGAAGGAATTTTCCTGTTTGGGACTCTGAATTGTTACTCTCGCGATGACATGAGCCTGTGCTTGAAGAACAGGCCATGTATGATGGAGTTTCTGTGGCTTGGACTTTGAAATCTGATATCTGTAATTTGCCTTCGTAATCTATATCGAGGAGTTCATTACATGCGTAATAGTTGGAGTTGCAAGGGTTTAGGGTTTAAGTGATTGCTGTGTCATTTGCCACGTGATGTAATATGGAGGACTCGTATCCTGGGTTTTAGAAATTTGTGAAGATTGAAGACTAGAAGTATGTCTTTTTTTCGTATCAGTGGCAAGTGATGATCCTTGTCTCATACGTATTCAGTGTACGAGCAATTCTTATGACTGTAACGGTCAAATTCTGGCGTGCGTTGATGAATTTTGGTGAGCTTTGCCACGTATTCAATAATTCTGGTGCCAGTGCAAGTATCAAAGTCTTGGCGTATCTTTTGCAGGAGCACAATGTGAAGCTGTTATGAAACTTGGGCCTCAGCTTGTAAGGTGGAGTCAGAACTGCATGGTAACTGCAAGTTCAGCGAACATTTTCAAGCTGGAAGCAGGCCAGGACCGCGTATTCGCTAATGCTATCTTGCTTCGTCTGGCTGATACTTTCCGGACTGGTACAAACTTTATGCGGGTGTGCATTTTGAAAGTTCTGATGTTAGAATTCAAAGAGCGAGGGAGAATTGGGGAGACTTTCTCATCAGACACTTCTGAAAGGGCGTTGGCTAACAGAAAAGTGGCACTGAGAAATAACAAGTCTTCCTCTCGAGCGATTAGGATGAGTCGTTCAGAAGATGGACTCCTAACGAAGAAAAGGATTGCAAGCCATGCCGAAATGGTGAAAAGGGTGAAGAGCGTGATAGACAGTGGGGATCCAACATCAAGGGCTTTGGCATTGCGCGTCCTGGGGTGTCTTGCGGACCTCGGTAAAGACAGTGTGGATGTGCATAATCTTGTCTTGCAAGCTCTTCAGTCTCCTCACCACCAAGAGGTCAGGGGTTGCATATTTCTCACCATCAAGAGGTTAGAGGGTCTTCTTTCCAAGTCGTATAGGTCGTATGTTAGTTTCTAGAAGCTTCACATTCATACTTTACTACTCTTTTACACATTATTCTGGACGTGCCTAATACGCATTCCGTATCTTCATAGCACATCTTTGCAGTCAACATTTCCAACTTCAGATGTATCTAGCCTATAATGTGGCGTGGTATCTTACTATGTGAAAGCAGTTTTTTGCTTTACACCAGCTCATTTGTTCTAGTCTAGGTTTTATCAGGCATATCTTGCAATCATGGAAAAGCCTATAACGCTGTCAACGAGAAAGTACTGGTTTCTTGCCTATTTTTTCCTGAACTAGATCATATTCCAACTTATTTGTGTTTTTGACACGTCAGTATATTGTCTTCTCTTCATGTCTTATATAAGCATACATGTTCCGGCTTCTACTGTTCGTTGAATGCTGATAGGCCATAGTTAAGAGTATCCTGTTCTCTGGCTTGTGTTCAGGTGAGTGCAGCATTTTTTGCCATGGGGTGTTTATCAGAGTTGTCTGACGACTTTGCCGAGCAGGCGCTAGAGAAAACATATGAGATGATTAACGCTATGTCGACAACACCCCAGATGAAAGTGTGGGCTGTTCGTTTCTTCTCTAAGATGGGTCACTCCCCTGCATTGTCCTTACAGGCCCATGAGGTAAACACCGTCCGTGTGGTCAAGCTCGTCAATCAGATACACTATCTCCCTCAGTCGACAGCTGTCTACAATTAATAAGCGAAATTGTTATTTTTCATGTTTTGGCTGAAGAACCTTAATCATGTCGTAGTCCAAAGATTACACTTAGTAATTTGAAGAGAACATGGTGATGCGAGCAACGTCATGGAATTGCAAATTAGTTGCTTTGATGCATTTTGTCTACAGTTGTTTTATTTACCTGTTCTAATGGTTTCATTTGACTTAAATCTTACAGCATGTATATTATTAAATTTACTATTTTTCCAGATGGGAAGGAGGATTATGCTGAGATACCCAACTAGCGAAATTGTGACGACGATGCTAATAGCCCTCACAATACTCGCGGCGGAGTCCGTTGTTATAATGAACAGCCAGGTATAGTCAACCGAAAACTGAATGATTGCTTTTTCTTCCCAAAGAATTTCGAAGATTTTTGCATAATTTCGGTGGTTATCTTGTATTGATGTAGGTTTTGCCCTAGAGAGCTAAAGTTTATCATGCAACTGCTGTAAAAAATGAGCTTCTTATGAGCAGAATTTCCATATCCCGCGTGCTGCTTGCAGGTAGAGCTTCTTTTGAACTACTTGGGCTCTGATCCTCGGATGAATGTGCGTGCTGTAGCTCTGAGGTCACTGGGGAAGCTAGTGTCTCAAGCGGTGCATTCCACAAACATTACAACCGAGATGTTCAACAGAGTCTTGATTGTCGTTCAAGACATCGCTTTACCATCAACACTTCACGTACTTGCCCTGCAAGTTATCCGGAAGGTTGGTATTACAACTCAGCATGATTGCGATGCACACAGATGGGATTTATGTGAAGACTATCTAATTTTTTTCAGAATTATATTTCATTCCACGGAGACTATTTCAAGCAATGTGGAGTCAGCTGAGAAGGTCTTGGATTTTTTTTGTTCATCAGAATTGGTTGGAGCTGATGTGAAATGCGTCGGGGAAGGTATATCAGTGTACAGTTTTCTAATCACTATGTTTCTTTTTGGAATGATGCAGCTAATTCGCCACTGTGTAACAAGTTTGGGCTCAGAATCTTGGCTTCAGTTAATCAGCTGGACAGAACTCACTGCCATGCGTGGCGACTGGCGTGTCGTTTCCAAAGCACTCTCACTTCTGGTAGAAGTGGCTTGTAATCTTACAAGGTTCAGAGACAGAATAAATTATCTGAAGCCCTCATTAGAACTCCATGAATTTAGCACGCGAGTCTGTTTTCTTCTCTGCGATCAAGTCTCTATCACTGCTGCTGTTGTTTTAAAACCCAGAGATACAGAAATAGACTTGGTTACTAAGTCCCAATCAGTCCTTGTCGACGAAGAAGATATCTCCTTGACTGGACCTGATGAGAAGATTACCTTTATAAGTGTGCTCCTGGTGAAGCTCATGGAGGGAAACCCATCTGTGAGCTGGTTTACCGTGGATGGTATTGCACTGCTAATGGAAACTCTCGCTGAGAACTGGCGGCAACTAAAGAACTTGGTGCACGAATACTCTCGGAGTACGATGGTAAGTTGTAATGTGGATAGAAACGGGAAAAATGCGTCACTCGAACCAAAATACGACAATGGCATAAAACATCACGAGGATTCTGGAAGCTTTCATGCAGTGGATGTACTAATAGTAATGCTTATAGAGCTGGGGCGATGTCTTGCAAAGTGTGTCTCCTTGCAGGAATGCAAAGAGAAAGTCGTAGAAGATATTCATAAAAGGATCCTCTTGTCAAGCGAACGCTTGATTGAGACGGACGTTCCCCCTCCTGTGCTCTGCCCTGTTTTGGAGGCTCTTATGATGGCAACAGCCCTGCATGACTCGGTGACTTCTGTAGCGGATACCTGGGCTGAAAAAGGCTCCAATGTTGACCGCGTAGGTGACAGAAGGAAGAGAGAATCACCCGAGAAAATAGTGAGCGAAGGTAAAAGAAGCAGACATGTTCTGAAAAGAGTAGTCTCGAAGCTTATTAGTGGAGGTAATAGTTGGACTGCTTACAAAGTAGGAGAAAAGGCTGCCCGTTGTGGCCTTTGGCATTTGGCTCAATCTTCTTTCTCATGCTTAGTGGAGAAGGCCAGCTCTGAAGGTTGTTACTTCTGGTTGAGGTCGTTGTCTGATCTCTGTACAGCTGAATCTCTTCTTCATGAGACCCAGAGAGATGTCGAGAGGTCAAGCAGCTCTAATATGGATGTCGAAAGGAGTGCGGCTGGTTTATCTGGTGACGATGGAGACACATCACAAACTGATGGCGCGCAAGAATCTGCCAGATTTGACGATTTGAGACTACAAGGATTCGGCAAAGCAGCTGCCTCGTCCATGCCCTTCCTTCGATCTTGTATCAGTAATTTATCTGCTGCGGTTTGTAACGAGCGAATGTTCGAGTTTCAACGCTGGGTCTCAGTTCTGAGACTGGAGATGGTGGAGTGTATCGCAGAGCTTGTTGGCTTGGTGGCGTCCATATCTTCTTTCGATACTGGTACCCCACTCCAGCCTGTTGTGAAAGTCCTCTGAAGGTTAGACAATGATTTGAGGCTGAATTATTTTTTTGTCGTTCTTAAAATTGACAACCTGCTTTTCCAGATGCTGGCGTGATTGATCTGGAAGATGAAGGAAAGGACAACTCAATGAAGAGCTTGATTTCAGCCCTGAGGGCAAGCACAGAAAAGGCTGAATTGCTTGGTTCAAGATTGAAGAAGTTAAGCGAGGAGTATGATATGGTTACAATTTCTTTCATGGGTATCGATCCAAAAAGTGTTGGGACTTTATCCAAGGCTGCTCTTCTTTGCTCTTTGCTGACGTTTTGCTCAGTGGGTGTGTTCTGCACACAGCCCACTAGCTTTCACCCTATGCCCAACTCCAGTATAAACGTCGGGACAGCGGCTTTAGATCTCTATCACCGCCTTGAACAGATCGAAGGTGGAGGCTGGGATGATCTACTGTGTTACGCTATGCAGTGTGGCGCTGGAGCATTGAGTGGAATGGGGACAGGTGGAAGTTTCGCAACGGGACCACGAGATATCGCACTTTTGAAACTATGCAAGTGGGCTGTAGATTCTGTTTTGAACATCCAGAGGCAATTAAGTTTGCTTGGTGCTGTTCGTGGAACACGACTTTTGGGACAGATTATCCACGAGGTCCTAAATCTGCCTTGGGTATCTCCACCGTTTTTCTTTTGTACTAGGTAATTATCCGCCTTCATTCTCACACCTGGCCATTAGGATGTTGGATCGGCTTCCTCGACGATAGGGGTTGATCTCTGCTGTTAAAGTTTTTCCATATTCCAGCTCTTGATGTGCGAAGTACATGGTACTGCAGTTATTTTGACTTACATATGTCGTGGAAATTCGTTTTTTGATTATATTATGGATTGTGTCAACGCCATATACGCAGACCACGCGCAGGAGTTGAGCTCTTCTTGGTTCAAGCGGGCACAAATGCTGGAGAATCAGAGGACCTTTTGGTTGCTCAAGGTGGAACCCTGGCCCTTAGTGTCTGCATGCAGATTGCCAATGCCCCTATTGAATCCTACTCCTACCCGAAAAAGCTCGTGTGTGCACTGTCTTACCAACTCACAGAGAGCTCGTCCCAAGTGGACGAGGGCTTGTATATGGGATCCAGATCAGGTTTGATCGGGAACCACGCTCATCATTTTGATATGTTCGAGAAGCTTATTTCACATTCCAAACCAAGCATCGCAAATTGCAGCATGCAATCATCCATCGGTCGGAACCAAAACAACACGCTAGAAGCAAACGGAGAACGACGAGACTGTATATTCTCTATGACTGTCGATGCGAAGGGGCAGGGATTTGCATCTTGCACAGTTGATGTTTCAGCAGCTCCTTCTGGCGAGTACGAACTTTTTCTCTCGTGCATTTGCTTCGACAAGGGCAACAAAGAGTGGGTATTGCCTGTTTTAAGCACAAGGCCTAAGTTTCGGATAACATGATGCACTCTGCAAGGATCCTCGTGATCAGTCTTAATTTATTCGTAGTATTGAGAGAGTGTCTTTCAAGTCACCATGAGAAACTTCTTATAAGGCGACTAGCTCCAGTTAGGTTCAGTAAATTGAACCATTCATCCCAAGGTGAGTCGTAAAATTTAGCGACCTTTTGCCACTAGGAAGATGGCCGATTGTACAGAGAAACCCCCCGTAATGCTCTGCCTGCGTGTGGACACGAGAGTACGGCTACTAGAGTCGGTAACAATTAGATCGATATCAATCGTCCAAGGAAAACACAACTCCGATGAAGAGAATAAGATAGACGCTTTGAACAAAGGAATTTACAGATCATGGTGGGCAGTGGTTCAGTGATACTTACAAGACAACGGTGAAGTAAAGCTGCTGCTATCGGAACTGAAAATCTCTGAAGCATTATGAAGGCTGGCAAAAATTTAGGGCTCAATTTCTTCGGAAACTCTACTTACGACAAGGAAACTCACCATAAATTAAAATTGGATTTCTCATTAGGAGGAAGTTACTGAACACCAGAGAATATGTGTACACTTCAGTTCATTGTACCTACTGTTTTCTTTTCAGCTCTTTGCTCACATGGTGTGACCAGTGTCTGACTGACGGCAAACGATGGAGCTTGCAGACAAGAACGCGTGTTATTGTGGTCCAAATGAATTTGAGTGGGAACCAAGCTCGGTTTTCGTAAGTTTTCTATGCCAAATAATCCGCCTTTGTTGCTAACTCTCTGGAGGAATGTCATTACTCTTTCAAGTCATGACTAATGTACCTTTTCGGCAGATATTGAAGGCCTTACAGCGTATTACGCACATCGACATATTACAGCAGAAATTCTTATTCGAAATTCTTTCTGAAAGACTAAAAGATTGTTCCAGATTTGACCCTGTATAATTAACCTGATCGAACTAAGCTACGAAATTAGTAATATGGCTTCTTCAAGTATGAGATCTGTGTAAACAAATGAACACTGCACCATTAGTTGACATGACCACCTACCCAGTCTTTTGTTTGAGTGATTCGTTCAATGACCACCCATTTATTTTCTTTTAGAGACTTTTTATACGAATATTCATACGATGGCTCTCCCAATTTTTACCACATAGATCTAACAAGGTCTCTCCATGCTAAGTAACAAATTTAGCACTAACTAAAGAATTATAGTTTTATGAAGATGACTTTGCAGGTTTCAATGACCTAAATCCATAATTATACTTGTAACAATTATAACAAGCTAGATATCTCATACATTAAAGGAAATCTTTACAACATCTTGAATTTTTTTATTAAAATTTTATATATAATTTCACAGAAATTTGAACCCATGCTCTTCGGAGTAGAATGAAGTAAGATATTCAAAATATAAGGATAGTTGGAAAACAAAGATTTTATGAGTAAGTCTCTCCATCATGCTTCTAGTTACCACATACAACATAGTAGCCAAATGCTCACATCTCCATGATGAATTTAAATGCATACAACGATGTGTTTGTAGAGACACTTTCTAAATCACTGCTATCGATATTGTGTAGTAAATGATTCATATTTTAATGTTATTTAGATATTAGAGAACTACACTTTGATCTTTCAGTATGGTTGGTGTTTTGTTTGCGAGCAAGAAAGAGTTACCATTATATATATGGTAAATAGATCAAGCCCGTGGGACCCAAAGGGTCAAAAGGCTGAAAAATACGATACAAACAATCCAACTCCAACCTAGGAGAGAACCAAAAAAACTCCATAGCTAGTGCCAAGAGCACTATAACAATATCTAATAACATCCCGAATGTAACAACCTAAATCATAAGGCTCAAGCTGAAGTAAAGAATAAAAATTCTCAACAACAACTTTATGAGACACTTTAATTTCTATGCCTAGCAATAATATGACGTAAAGATCTCCGCAAGTAAGTATCCTTGCTCACAATAAACAAGTATAGTATTCACATGAAGTTGATAAAACTCCATTTTAGTGCTTTGTTTTCTCCAAATAATGATGAGGAATTTCTCCTTGATACGTTCGCTTAGGGCAAAAGAGATTATAGTTTCTACAGTTTGAGTTGTGTGCACTTTTTTGAATTTGTTTGGTTTAGAAGAAAATAGTATTACCAAATCATTGGAAAATATCAAAAGTCCAAATCAATATTATCATTAAGTAGATACTAAAGAGTACTTTATGTTTTAACCAATGCATGGTATAATTTGAACTCCGTTTTGCACACACACCGATGGAAGTATGTTAGATAAGGAAGCAATTCTTACTGTACTTAATGATGAGGATTAGCTTTAGCATTATAAACTTTTGTGGTAGTTTACACACCCAACTTTAGCAATATAATGACCTAAACATACATATCTTATAAAAAGATATGTCTAAGCTACAAGACTATCAAAGCTATTACAAAAGCTAACTTCAAATTGAAGTTTGATGTCTCAAAGTTTTACATAAATCTTGCATATTGTATGAAGTTTTGAAGTGATAATTTGTGATATTTTAAGATGAAATCAAAATTCTATTACAAGTAAATATGTTCACCATGAAGTAACACAATATTGAATTTTGATTCTTCTCAGAGTATTTTGTTTAATAATTAACAAATAAGTTTTTGTGATTTTTGTTTTTTAAAAGAATTAAAAACCATCTGAGAGTTCAGATGGCACCTTAACATGACGCATTTTTATTTTGAAATATTTTCTCTAGAGAAATTTGTGATAATTATGGGTCTAAAGTGTAAAATATACTTTTTACATGAAAAAAACTCATGTGGTTGTACAATGAGATTTAGAGATAACTTGATTGAATTTCAATCGAATGTAATTGTGATGATTTATTTCAGTGCTCATCATGAATATAGATTAGATGTTCTAGCTGGTTTACTTTGATTTTAGTTCATATTCTCCCACAAACTGTTCAAGTTTATGATGATGGTTTTCATAAGAAGTCAAATTTCATTCATAACTAAAATATCAGTTGGAATCATGATAGGAAGTTTCATTCAATCATTACTAAAGTTTATTTCCAAAAATCAAAGCATTGAATCTATTCAAATCTCCAAAATAATTATTAAGTCAAAAAACTTATATTCATGTAGGCATATACATCGTTTGATTTCTTTTAAAAAAAATGTATTCAATTTAAAATTAAGATACTGGGTTTATGTGAATCTTAATTGTTATATATAATCTTGATGGTTTGACAATAAATTTAGACATCTATGATAAACAGATGATATTAAAATATCTTTCTAGGGTTTAAGGTTGTATTGAATTCTTGGACAATATGATTTTTACGAAGCGAGATTTTTTTTTTGACAAAATCTTCAGTAATTTAGATGAAAATTTCATTAATATTTTTTACACAAGTTTTAAGAATTTGTGCTTCGCCAATTCTATCTTAAAGACCGAAATCAGTCACACATGCTGAGTGAATAGATGAAAATACAGAGATTTTCTTCGTATTGAAGTTAAAATGAGCGAATCTGATCGGCCGTTTTCATCAGGAGGTAGTTGTTAATATATACACATTAGGCTACTTCTCAAATCATTTTAAAAGATGAAATTTCTGTCACAAATAATAATATATGACAACATATTCACCATATTGAGGTAAAAACAAGAAAATGACAATATCTTACATTAGCTGCTTGATGGTTAGTTTATTGTAAAATAAATTGGCAAGTTAAATATATCTTTTTTTTATGTACTGGTTAGGAGAATCTAGAAAAAATTGTAAATTTTCTCAAAAAATTTATTTACTTATTTGAAATGGTTTTCTTTAACATAGCCAGATGAAAAAATTAAAAATCATACAATCTATCGCAATTTATAAACTCTATTCGCTGTAAAAAAATGAATAGAACTTAAAAAGCTATATCTCAAAACACAACCATTTCGGTAGATTTGAACGTTTGTCCAAAAAAATTTTATTTTGTAAAGCGGAAGATATTTGAAATCTTTCAATCTGAAAGCATGTAAATTAAGTAGTAGAAAAGTTGAAACTGGTAATGATATTGCATAGAATATTGTTTCTCATTTACACCACATTGGATATATTGAAAATGTAAGATGCTGGATTTTGATATAATGGAGTATATTTCGATTCATAATTAAAAAAAATACTTGGCCGTTTGACTCGTATCCACTCTCTTTACATTTTTTCCGAACAAATTACTTGCAAATGTAAATTATAGGAATTAATGCACAAAATAGAACATATTATTCTTATGTCGGTTACAGTATACACTCATTTAAGTACGCACCCAGATAAATCCGCATCCCGCCTAAGTCCGCATTTTTCAGACGAAATTTCAAGGATCAGAATTCTAGAGTTTTATAATGAGCAGAAGTCAAACTTTTGATTAATGACGGTGATGCTAAAAAAATGTTATAACTTAAAACGAATGTTTTCATGTATGAGGCAACATGGTGGTTTCTCACTAGAGATTAGCTCTCTCTCCTTTTTGGCCCTAAGGGTGGATCTTTTAATAACTGCTTGTATCTAAGTCTACTGGTTTTCATCCTACTTCCTATTCCGTGCGTCTCAAACCCAGTTTTATTCTTGATAAGACTTCACTCATATCAATCTCTACAGACTTACCAATATCTTAAATATATTGTCTCGGTAAATAACTATATCGACATGAGTTCGTTGTAGACGGTGTTCAGAAAGAACAGCACAAACTAATTGGAATAAGAATTGAGTCAGATATTAACGATCCTTTTCCTTAAAAATTGCAATACAAGGACTATTAGTAATGTCAATGTTAACTTCTAACCACAGGGTTAATCGTTTTGTGGTATGAAGTGAAGGGTGGTACGAAGTATTACCACGTCTGGAAAATCATTGGAATGTTGTCCGAGGCTTTTCTCGTTATTAACACCTTTTGACAATAGTTAACATGGAAGTAGCGCGGAAAGATTGAAGTCACAAGATGAGATGTAACTAAAGTCCGCATCCCAGATAAGTCCGCACAAACTGTGCGGAATTAACCGAGTTTATACTGTATACATATACAGCTTATTGGAGAAGATTGCTTTCTTTAAATGCTGGCAAAAAAACTCGAATGAAATTGCTCCACAAAGTTCTATACCGCGTATTGTATCGAATATTTGACCACGACAAGTCTAGTATAAGCTCGAATCCGAGCGGTCAAACTAACTGTCGATCCCAATCAAAAGAAGCGTGAAAGAAGTATTAGCTGGAACAGATGCTGAAGGTACTTCTCTTTGATAGTGTCCTTGTATTTGGCTAGTGGCTGAACTAGGTACCGAAGTTCCTTCCTTTTCAACCACTGTAAAATCCGGTAATCTTACTCACTTTGTTCTTCGCCTTATGAAGGAGGTCAATGCAGAGAGCTTATATATTAGATGAGTATACAGATCGACTTGAAAATAAAAACACAGATTTTATTCAGCTCTAGTAGAAGTTGGTTCGTGGGCCGTCCTGTTTGTGCAACAATGAGCGTATTCCAGATGAGTGAATCATACATCCTTGGATATACTCGCTCTGTGAAAGTTCAGTAGATGAACAAGAGGTTATTCCTTTTGTTTTATTGAGTGGCTCCCATGGTTCACAAGCCAGACCAGGCGGGCGAATTAATCCTGTCCTCGCTAATGAATGCGTATGCCACTGCTGGCAATGATGTACAGAGACCAGCTGAATAATGGGAGGCCTGAACGCTGGCTGCATCAACCTCCGGTCGGCTTTACAAACTCTCCAGCGTACACCAACATAAATTACTATTGCTTCATCTATAAGTCCGGTAGTTTCTAGATATCGCTCGTGATCAGGCGGAGTTCGAAAAGTCTAGAAATCCATGATGCTGATCCAATTGAGCATATGACGGGTGGCCTTATTTCGGAAGATCGCCTGCCTCTCGAGCTCTTTGAGGAAAACAAAGTAATTCTTGACGGAGCATTTCTTACGAATCTCTCCTTGAGAATCTGTCAAAAATTGGATTTTGCTCATCTTCACCATTGCAGCTGCGAAATCGGCGAAGAACGTGGAGCCGGGTTGTGCTAATCTGGTCGCCAAGGCTAGTGCTCTGGAGTCGGTGGCGAGTGCAGAATCTGAGGTGAAAAGTCCTTCCCTGGTTATGACCTACTTTAAGTATGTGCGGTCAAACACGTTTGGAGAAGAATCCATGGTGATAACCGTCGTGACATCGTTGGGAGGGCACTGCTTCTGCAAGTTAGCTGCCAACGTCGAGTCCATGCTCGGGTCTGTTTGTCCATTTACTCCATTGAAATTGTACAATCCGTGCGCTCTACCGAAGGTGTGCGCTCCTGATCGAACGGACAAGCCAAACACGTCCGAAGATTAAATCTCATGCTTCCGATTTCCACTCTCTACGCTGCACACGAAGTCTTTTGTGCATGCTATCCCAGATAACATCCACAGGATCGCCGCCACGAAGAGAAGACAAGAGATCTGCCTCTTCATGCGACTACAGCATATGAGTTCTGCTGTTCTCCCTCACATTAGTATGATGCTGAAGGTTCACTGGACTGGACTGAGTAAGACCTTGATAGAACTTGATTACCTGACAGGACGATCATGTCCCATGCGTTGAGCCCAACAGGAGCAAAATAATGAATCAGCTGACCGCGGTTCATGATCGGGGATGAATGCGCCGCTAGGGCCTCCGACGCTGATGACACCGTCCCATCCCTGCGTCCGAGAAGGACGGGCCAGGTTTGACCTCCTGCCTGTTGTGTCATATGCAGAGTGAATCTTATTCCCAGGATCGCATTCAAGGACGCAAATCAGCTGATTAGATCCCATGACTACATCTAATTCTGTCAATGCTTGGTGGAGCCTTCAGTGTGCAAAGAATGGTTGATCGTCATTTTGAACAAGGAAATTTTTCATGTTAGACGTACCTTGACGGTGGCATCACCTGCTACGTTGGCCAGTATATCTGCACAAGAGACAACGCCGGGGCAGGCAGCCTCGAGTGCGGATTTGACTTGATCAATTTCCTCGAATCCTTTCCAGGAGTTTTTATTCGGCAGGGCGTCGATCTCTTGATTTGGCTGGCGTCAATTGAAAACATTCCATGGTTACATACAAAATAGCATCGCAGGTATCATTTGATTAAAATCCAAATTACCTTGGAAATGCACATTACCTTAAAGCTTTTTGGTGGTGCAAATACTACGTAAGGTAAATAACTTTGAGTAATATTTGCACCACTAAAAAGCTCCATGGAGGTTGATTAAGTTGATTCCAGACAAATTCACGAACTTCAACCACCAACATTTTATCAACTTCCATAGCCACTCAGTTGAATTTGAGGGCATGCTCAAAGTGGTTTTAACCACTTCATCACAAGATTTGTCAGTTAGCACAAGTTATTATTTGTATCCAAGAGTGCAGCAACTGGAGTTGAATGAGATTCCATAAAACTCTGATATCACCCCGGATTTTGGCTAGTGAACACACCAGGACAGTAGAACCTTGCACATCCATTATCTGTACAACGATGTCGCTTGCGAAGGTTAGAATATCACTCTCGATGAATCTTTCTGGGTTCATGGTGTACCCAGAAGGATTCAGACGGATGCGATATTCAGACAGATAAGCTGGTTTGCACCAGACCGGTTAACTTGCCAAACCTGCCTCCATAGTTACTGCCTCCATATTTATTGATGTATCTGCAGCAGTCAATTGAAAATCAATGGTCTCAGAGTCCATGTAGCAGTCCATGAAGTGGCAATGGTCATCAGGAGGGAAGACTGTAACTGCATCTTAATCACATATATTCCCTCGGATAGTGCTTACAGCTGGGTGCAGCGGGATGACGAAGGTGAGGAACACGAGGAGATCGCTCAGTGCTCAATACGAACGCCGGAGACCTGCGTCGCACAAGCTTGATTGAGAAAGAAAATAAAGAATAAAGTTGAAAAACTTCAGCGAAGGAAATATTCACATGTAGACATCATGGCTGATCGAACGTACGCTTGCAATTTTTCACGGACAGGCTCGGCCCGCGAAGTCTGGAAATCAGGCTCTGGGGGATGAAAACATAACTCTGAAATGTATCCAAGAACAGATTCGAATTCTTCTACAAGGAGGGCAGGGAAAAATAACTGCAATCAGAAGCAAAGCGACAGAATCAAACCAACTGTCTGTCCACAAACAAACGCAGATAAGGGAACTGCTACTGGCATTTATCATAATCCATACATTCTGTTTTTTTTTGCTATTCGCCCCTTCTTGTGCTATTCGCCGCGGAACAGGCTATACAGAAAGACCATTCTCTGGATAATTCGTGGAATTTGTTCATAATTTCCGCGGAGACGGAGATAATCCAGAGTCGGGTGATCCCCATCTGTCAGAATTGGCGATGGACGTGCCGCAGGATATCCACCATCTTGGGTGGATAATTGATATGAGCTAGAATATGAAGGTCGATTCTATAGCGTCTTGCGAGGAAGAGGCTCAGAATCGCCTTTTCCAAATCCCAGAGAGATTCTTCAGGGCCTTGGAGATCCTGCACAAAGTATCGATCAAATGCAATTTAGCCCAAATTTGTGAAAACAAAGTCTGTTCAGATCGATTCGACACTTTACGAAATGAATCTTACCGTCACAAGTTCAGGACTTGATTTGACAGATTTATCCGCACATCGGAGCAGTTTTCTTTGACATTCCACAAGGTCCATTAACTTTCTCGGACCCGGGACTTGGGGCTATTCCTCTCATTACGAGCTGACAGGCAATGGCTGTCAGCAACGAAAGGAACAGCAAACGTTTTACGAGGCTTGAGCAAGGGAGCATCATGTCGATAGTGACAGTAGAATATCTTTCACGAATGGAAAATGTGGGAAAGTACGAGAGCAGAGGGTTAATAGAGATCTGAGTCTCCACATCAATCACATCAGTTCAAATGATCAACGCTGACAATCACCGGCGTGAGGAAGATCCAATCACGTGAAGGCTTGCAAAATGAATCACATAATCGTTGTGAACGTCCATGTGCCCCCTACTTTCGTTTTGCAAATTTGCAACAGCTTTATTATTTTCCGATCGCAATGGGAAGCTCCCACAGGAACGTTTGGCTCGAGAGTTCACAGACCTTTAAACGGTAATAGTTGCTAATGAGAGATATGATCAGATTTCTGAATGCTGTTGTTCTCTTCATCCGAGAGTATACTAGAGTTTCTAGCGAACTTCTTCCGCAGTAAATGTTCTTCGTTTAATTTTTGGAAGAAAGTACCATCGGAGTTTAAGTTTCATAGTTAATTGTCGATGAGATGAGTTAAGTATTTGGATGATGACGTTATGCCTTGTTTGGAATTAGTACTTCCGTGGTTAGTAATTATTGAATCTTTGAATGGATTTATTGTCAAGTCTTGGTGATCATCTCGATTAAAACATATTTATATAACATACACCTATCGATTTCAGTTCTAGTGTTCAAAAATCATAATAATTTTGATTCTTCATACGTTCTTCATTTGATAATTTCAATAATTGTATTTTTAAATATCATCCAATATCAATTTTGGTTTATGTTTTTATCAACAAATAATGTTTGGATAATATCAACTTTTCTTAGTATGTCATTATTGGTTTCATAAGTTACATGATCAAATTTCTCAACACCTTTGTCACTTTGACTGAAATCAAACATTGAGGTTTCTTAACACGGCTATTTTGCCAATCTGCGTCTTGTTCTATTGTCAAATATGTAGTTTAGTAGCTAGTCAAATCATTGTCACTTGCTAGATTTCACATTTTTTAATGCTACATTGCAAATTTGCTTGAAAGTTGTATTCTCAAATCATCAATGACACTTTGGCTTTCAAAACAATAGCTTTTGTGAGATTAGTAAACTCAAAAAACATTATTACTCTTGTTGAAAACTTATAATTCTATTTTGATGATAAACTACAACTAGTTACATTTTGGCTTGTAGGTAAAGAACACATTGCACGGTAAAAGCTCTTAATGATATATAAAAAATTCATTTGATATGATGATTATTGAAGATTTATTGTATGATAAATATATCAAGTTCATGAAAATGAAAGGATCAAAAGGCTAAATCACATTACAAATCAATGTAAAAGTAGAAATTTAAACAATTATTTATTCGAAGATGATATATAGAATAGTCAAATTTTTCCTTATATAAATCTTATCAACAAATATAAGGAGATAAGATCTCACTCCGACTATCCATTCCACTTTTAGTGTATTGATGATATGACGGATAATCCTACTAAGCACACGAATTATATATACACAAATAACTATACAAGGATATTTGTTGTACATGCTAGTTTTGTTTATTTTGAGCAACAAACAACTTCATCTTTGCCTCAAGATACGGAGAGCCAGTTTATGAATAAGCTCTGCAAAATTGTTGATTGTGGTTACTTTGGTAAGAAACATGTGTGCTTCCAAAAACTTCACTGAACTTGATATATTCATAAGATGAACATTGTACATAAGGTAGTATGGAAACATCTAGATGTATGCATTTGAACAATTGTGATATGCAAATTACACAAAAAGCAAAATATTATTTTATTGTTCTTGCTCATTTGATATGAATATTTGTAACACATACTTTACAATTCTACTGATTTTTTTCTGTTTGATCATAAGTTTGAGAATGTTAAGTCATAAACATTGCAATTTTTGTTTTGAAGAAAAAAAACAAAGTTTTACAAAACAAATTGCTGAAATAAGTAACTCTATGAAAAACTAAGATTTTGCTTATTTCATGATTTGCAAAATATGCATCTTATTATTATTGAACAAGTTGTGAAGCCGTCACATTTTTTGTGCTTGGACTAATGTGAATTTTGCACAAGTTGAGTTTAACTCCGGTTACGGAGTACCCTCATGTGTAGCTATTCATAGCTGAGATTGGTCGCCTACGTTAGATATATATATATATATATATATCCTGATGCTTCTGCGAGTATTGTTATGTTTTCACCTTAAGTGTATCACTACTTGGATGTGGTACTTGAGAATGAACCACATTATACATGTGTTTCTTGTGTTGTTGGCTTGCTCACTATGATCATGAGTTTTAACTTTAGAATTGGTATCAAAGCAAGTTCTCGTTCGGATTCAATGTTAAAGTGTTAAGTTTTCTCGGTAACGGTTTTCTGATGCGTGATGGTTTTTGACGATAGTATTTTTGACGATGATTGTGAAAGTGTTTTTTTATCTCGTTCAAGAGATTGTCAAATGACAGTGGTTCTTTTGAGCTGTGGTTTGTGATAGTATCGTAATCATATCAATTGTGAACAGTTAACGTGAGTTTGTTATGATAGAATTTTGGGTAGAATTTTTGTGACAGAAGTTTGATGATTGTGAGAGAATTTTGACGATGACAAGTTTGAGAAAAGTGGAATTTTTCCTTGAACTGACAATGTTCTCACTTTTTTTTTGTTTTTTTACCTCTTTTTTCAGTTTTTTTTTTTCTGTTCGAGTTTGCTCGTAGGAGGCCAGATCTACATGGGCCCATTTTGTGTCAAAAGTGTAATAGATTTATAAAGTTATTTTGAAAGTTTGTAGATAGTACCATTGACAGATTTTTTCAAGGAGAGCACAAACGAGAAAACAAAGAACTCACAAGAAAAACGAGAAAGTAATTCCCAGGAGTAGCCCGAGCGACGAGGCGGCCAGGTCGCGAGAGACGCAGCCCGAGCAATGGGCCTCCCTCGTGCAGTTGCAGGAGCGACGGCCCTCCCGCAACATTGTAGCGGCGTGGCTCCCGGGACCCGAGCAGCAAGCCGTTCTCCCGCATAGGAGTTTAGAGTTTTAGTGGAGAGTAGGATCGTCCCCCCGTTTCATCACATGGTTGTGATCAAACATGGTTGTTGTGAACTTGCTTACCTCAAACATGATCAGGCTGAACGTGGTCGGGTTGAATGTGGTTGTAGTTGTGGTTGGAGATCGAACGTAGTCAGCGGGCCAATTGTGGTTGGTAGGGCAACGCAATCAAAAGCCGACCAACGGTAATGGTGACTATGACGTCGGAAATCAACGGTGACGGATGTGGTAACACACTTTTTGTTTTTTTTGCAGAATTTAAACAATTTTAGAAAACTAGTACCAAAGCAGTGTTTGTAGCTAGAGAAGGGTACGCTAAATAGAGTGGATTGATGAGATCGTCATGAGGGCAGAAAGAATCACGTAGTCGGATGTACCAACGCCAACGTCTTCGGCGCCTTCGGCAAAAGCTCCTTTTTGAGGTGTCTCTACTCACGCGCCTCTAGCGTATAAGGAAGCTACGCTTCCGGCGCAGACACCTCAGGAGGAGGTTTTGCTAAAGACGTCAGGAGAAGGGCCCGGACCTCTAAAGGCATCCGACCATGAGTGCGCCTTCGGCGAAGCGCCGCTAGCGCGGAAAGGGAAAACCTTCATAACAATCGGGATACACGGTAGATCCAGTTGGTTGAAGTTGCATTAGAAAGAGCTCGGGACGCTCGTTCTAACAAGTCCAAGAGCGTCGGAGATGGATCAGGAATGGAGAAGTTATGAGCGTCGGAAAACTCGTAGCCGGACATGCGCCGTTCGCGCTAGGGTTCACAGCCGGAAAGGATTCCCGTACGCCCTCGGCGATGCGCCTTCGGCGGAATCACGCGCTCACAGGAGGAAACCAACTCAGAGTCGGAAGCGCCCTTGGCGGCTGTTCATGGAAGGAAAGCGCCGGTCGGATGTACGCCTCCGACGTGGCGCTGACGGCCGGATGCGCTGGCATGAGTTGCGCTGACGGATATGCGCCGGCAGCAACGGACGAGGCATAAAGGACAAAATAGGCGGTACGACTGCGCGCCGGCGTAATTCGCTCCGGCTGGATGTGCGCCTCCAGCAAGGCGCCGACGGATAATGAACGCACCAGCGGCGACACGCCTCCGGTGAAGGACGGGTTAGGAAAAGACAACAGGGCCGACGTATACCCTGCAGCGGACTCGAGTCCGGAAGGTGGCGGCGGCGGGAGAATTCAACGTTTAAGCATGCGAATGCGCGCACTGCGGAGACGTGAATTCGCGCATGCAAAGGGCGAACCGTTAAGCCGTATAGCCGGCTGCGTACGTTGCAACCAGTAAGAACGTTGGACGTTCTTGAAATCGGAGAAGAAAAGACTGCGCTCCAGTCTCCTTCTCTCATTCTTGACTTTGCGATTTCCAGTTCCAAGATTACGCGCAAGGGCGGAGCGACCTGCAGTGAGAGTAGAGAGTGCGGAGACGAGTTGCGCAAGGATCTTGGCGGACCTTGAAAGAATTGTGAGTAGCGATCTTGAACGAGCGCAGAGAGAGTGAGCAGTCAGTGCTTGAGTGGCCGACGCGCAGTGGCGATTGTGAGAGAGCGAGCGAAAGGGAGAACGTTTGTGTGTGTGCAGGCAACGCAATGTCAAAGGTTCCCCAGCTGCGAGTGTCTCCACTCAGGGTGCCGCAGATCGGTCTACGCGCATTTCAAGATGTGCTGTTGAGGCTGAAGCTCGATTTTCTCCTATGGGGGTGGAATTGGACATGTCCGGAGATGGTGCGCGAGTATCTGCAGGAGAGACACAAGCCTTCTCGCGGATTTCGCCCACACCCAGAGAGATGGGACATTTGCAATTGGGCGCAGGTGTTGGGCAGGTGTGCCGGCGAGGAAGGGGATCTCCTCTTCGAGGCCGATAGCGTGAAGGTGTCCCATGAGGAAGAAGTCTCTTACAATGAGCTCTTCAAAGTGGCCAGACATCCCAAGAACGGTTTCCGGACACGGGATTACAAGGATCGATTGCGGAGAAATGTCGCGACGGCATTGCTGCAGATATTGCAGCCAACCAAGACCGCTTACATGCATGGTTGGCAGGTAGAGTTCGTGGAGCTAGTGCTGTCAGGAGCTCCGGTGCATTGGGCACGGCTCCTGTGGAAGGTG